AGGATATTGAAGAAGCTGTGGTTACCTTGATTGAAGGTTATGAATGGAGTAGTGCCTTGCTATTGGTAATATTTTGTTTATTGACTTTATGACTCAAATTTTATTTCTTTGTAATGTTCTCGAATGATTTACTGTTCTTGTGAAATAATTGTTTTTTCAGTATTCATTACTATTTTATTATGAATGAAATATTAAATAAGTGAAACTCTTTTTAATGCATTGTGTTTTTATTTTAAAAAAATATCCAGAACTAAAGATATCTTTGCAAGGTTGCCATACCACAGGGCAAAAATGAAAAATCTGGAAAATACGGAGAATTAGAAAATCGCCTAAAATAACAGGGAAAATGCTGGGGGGAATTTTGTTTCTTATTTTCGTTTTTTGAAAAATGGGGACCACTCAAAGTGCAATTTATGCATTATTTAAGGATGATATATCAGCTATACTAAACTATTTCATTTATTATGGCAGTATGTTCTTTTTTTTTCCCTCCAAATTTTTCCAGCAATCAAAAATAAAGTTAGTCCAATATAGCTCACACAAGAGCACAGTGATTCTGTATTTCCTTTTAATATATTGTGTATAGTATGTACTGGGAATTTATTTTCCAGATTAGTGTGGCAACCCTCCTTTATTAAATTTTTTTTTTGCCTCAGTTGCCTTAACATTGTAATGTAAAAAATAATAAAATTAATAGTGGAAAAAGACACTTAGTATTAGTTGTGTTAATACTCCCTATAAAAAACCAAACATACTTTCTGTTCCAACTAGGATTTCGTAAAATAATGGTGTAAATTGTGCTTGTACAAAAAAAAAAAATTATGTGTCCTAAAGATGCAACAAAAAAAAAATAGATTTTTTTCATTGATTTGGCTCTATATGTTAATTACTTACGTTTTATTTCAGATGTCAAAGTATAACAGATATGATATTGCTGAAACTCATCTACACCCATCTCTTATCATGCTTCATAAAACCCTAATACCAGAATTAGATTTGTTAATAAAGGATTTCAACACACATCTTTCCCGACTGAAATATTTGCGAAGTCCAGAAAAAAAGAAGCTAGATGAAGAGGGTAAGATAGTATGAAATTTAAGGCATTGTGCATGCAGTTAAATTGCCTTTTTATATTTTTAAAGATAAGCATTTTTTCATTTTCTTGGGAAATAGCCAAACAAAATTTAGTACATTTCAGTTATTTTCTGTATAATATTCTTAGCTATATTTGAAACTTGATTTAGATATAAAGTTTTCATGGGATATAATTCTCAATTTTATAAATTTAACTAAAATTAAAATTTTTTATTTGTTTTACGAAAATTTGTCTTTACAGCTGTTTTTGTTCCTTGGTGATATCAAATAATTTTTATTTTTTATATTACAGTTGCTCTTTCTTCAAAGTATAATGATGATGATCTGTTTTCTGAGGTTACTAGTGTTTCAGATATTGCATCTTCTCAATCAGAATCTGCTCGTTTGTCTGGGTATTTTATTTTTTTTATTGTTATTTAAATTTTTATTCATAAATGCCTGCTTTTTTTAATGACACTGTTTAATTTAATGCATGTTAAATTTCTTCATACTTTGCTATAGTTTAAGAAATGGGAAAGCTTCAATTCTCAATTCAATTTCTCAGAAACTATTCAACCCATTTTGCTAAAATTTTGTATGATCCCATATAACGTTATATTCTTTAACCCCTTACCTGCCGAGTAAAATTTACGTGATTCACTCCCCAGTGCCACCGTTTTTCGCTCAAATGCGCATTGTTACGCTGTGTTTTGGTGGGGGGGAAAGATGCACGCGTTGCAATTTAAAAACAGTTTACTTTCACAAGAGAAGAAAAAGGAAAAAGAGAAAATACAAAACTTAAATTAAAGAATAAAAATTCAATATAAAATATGTTAAAACTTAGCTGTTGTATGATAAATCCTGAAACATGGTTGGACACATAAACCAACATCACATTCATTGCCCTGATAGCGGGATTCTCGACGAATATACACGGGAAACGAAAGCGAAACAAGAATAAACCCAACCTTACTCAAATAGAAACACACAAACAATAAGTATTATGATATAACTTTTCCAACACATCCCTTTCCCATTCCCCCTCCCCCGAAATTTGTAATACATTCATTGCAAACACTTTCAATGACAAACATTGGCAAACTCTTTCAAGGTCATTTTACTGCATTTAGAAGGCGAAGGTGTAGTTCTATTTATAGAAGCGCAATGTAAAGCATCGTTCTTCGGGAAAGCGTATATATACGCCTGCGGCAGTTAACGCATCGTCTGGCCGAGACGTAAATATACGCCCACTGCAGTTAAGGGGTCAAAACCATACAAAAAGTATACATAGTCTATTCAAAAAAATGATCAGCCATTTTAAATCAAATTATAAAAAATAATAAATATTTACGATAAGTTATTTTTTGCATGAAATTCGATAAACAAATTTTATAATTGTGTACAAAAAGTTTTCAATTTGCTTAAAAACTTCTCATGTTGTAGCAAAGTACCCAAAAATTAACTTTATGAAGTAACTTTAGAGAGCTGTCCTGCCCAAACTAATTGGGACCATATATTTTTGGGCTCAGAAATCTGAATCCTTCGAAAAAAGGTTTGTTTATTCAGAGAAAGTACATTGTTGTGTCTGATTTCATAACTCAAGATATAGCCTGCACTTGATTATTATCATATTTAAGGTCGCCCCCTCAAGCCATTAAAATTTAGTCCTAGATCGTAAAAATCATTAGGTCAAATGTTATTCAGAGTCGTCTTTTTTTTTTCTTTTTTTTTTTGCACACTGTACCTATGCAATTATGTGTATTATGTGTATAAGCATAATTTACTAATTATATATTTTATAGCTCTATAATGACTCGTAAAAGTTCCAAAAGCAGAAGAAAACAACAGCTAAAGAAATATCGCTTGAAAGAAGGTAGTCCTGATGAAGATTTAGCTCTGATTGTTGCTCTTTCTGAAATAGTACGAAAAGTAGATGGTCTCAAAGGTAATGAGTTTTTCATCTTAATTATTCTTACAATCAATAGTTAACTAAAAAGTAGATTCAGAGATTTATTTAGAGTTAATCTGATATTTTGTATTTAATATACTATTGAATTTTTCTCAAACATGCTGTAATTTAAGTATTGTATTCAAATAAATCAAAGTGAATGCAATGCTTAAATTTTAAATTCAATGAATGAAAAATAATCTAATATTTGAACTGATAATAAATGCTTTATTTCTCAAAACTTAGCTTAAATAAATATTTTGTTACAAATTAAACTATTTTCCTATTTTAAATCGAATTAAAAAGGAATTTTTTAAAAGTAAATTCTTTTGTTCATTTATTAACATACATACATATGTTTTAGAAAATAGGAACATACAATGAGCATAGGTGTTTTAAATTTATATATTATTCATGCATTTTGGTAATAATATTTAATTGGTATTTCTTAAACATGAAGTTAACTTCAGTTGTATTTTTATGATATTTAGTTTTTCTAGATCATTGTTTAATATTTATTTTATAGACTATTTATAACTTAATCTACCTATAGTTGAATAATTTGTCTATATTTAGTTTTTAAAAAAATCTGTTATTTACAACAACAAGAAGAAAAAAAAACTTTTTTGAAAAATATTTCTAAAATATATACATTTTAATTTTTTTGCTTGCTTGTATTTAAACATTAATTATACATTATAAAGTTTGTTAAATCATTCTTGGCTTCTGAAATTATCATTGTATTTATGAAATATATATGCTTTTTTAAATATTTTATCTTTATGTTTAGTATTAGTCTATGTACAGTGTGCAAAAAGAAACTGATCATTTCAAACAACTTTTGATTTAATGATCAGATTTTCTCGTACTAAGAATGGTTGAAGGGGGATGACCTCCCTCAAGTATGGTAATTAATTAGTATTGACGATTTTTTTTAAATAACAAAATCAGATAGAAAATTAAAAAAAGAATTTTTTTTGACCGATTTGAATTTTTGACCTACAAAATATGAGACCTAAATTCAATCTGAGAAATATGGTCTCAAAAATTAAAACTCTTTAATGCTTTTACATATTTTGCCGTTTCTCGAAAACTTTTTAGACAAATTGAAAATTTTTTGCACATAATTGTAAGGTTTGTTTATTAATAAATAATTCAATGCAAAAAAAAATCTTAGATTGTTGTAAGGTATACTAATTTTTACATCATTTTGAATGATGTAATTTTATATGACAAGACATAAAATTTGAATGGAATTGGCCGAATTGTTCCTGAGAAATCAAATGTTGATAAATTTATAGTTTTTTACAGCTGCATATTCTTTTTCAGATAATTTTTTGAATAATGTGCGAGTGTTGTTGCAACATGGTTTGGATTCTCCTGCAAAAGAAATACAATCTAAGATGCAATTATTAGTTTCTTCAATAGATGCTGAAATGTCATATATTTGGCCTATTAATCAAACAATCGAAACTGCTCCTACGCAATGGGTATTAATATGATTCTTATTTATATTTACTTAATAGTTTCTTTTAGGTTCATTTTATAATTTGTTTTATATGGATCAGCAGCTCAAAGAATTTTGATTGTATATGTTGCTTGATTTTTTACCGTTTAAGACCTATGTTATTATAAATAGTTTTATATTTATCGATAATTTAAAGAATTGATCTTATATGATGCTTGTTTTTTTTTAGAGCTATGGACCAGATTCTACTGTCAACTCTATTACTGCTTCTAGAAATGTGGAGGAGAAAAATATTACTACAACACAAATTGGTATGCTTTGTTTTTGTTATGAAATATACTTTCAAATGTTGATGTGTTATAAATTAAACCTTGTGTATATATAATTGTGAATATTACATTTTCTAGTATCTTTCTTTATATGTATATATTTGATGAAAAAGTTTATTGCTGTTGGAATTACTTTTTGTTGAAGAAAATGCGTGATTTACCATTTGTTGACGATGCTGTTGATTGATGTATTTCGAATTGTTCATAATTTTATCCCAGAAGGATACAGCCTAGTTATTACACGTTAAACCTCATAAACTGCTTGATGAAGAATCAAATATTAATAATAAAATTTGAAAAATTTAAATATATGGGGCTCCAAAGTAAAGATTCATCTTTTTATTTTTAATATAAATATACATTATCAAATAATAAATTTGGAATAACGGCCCAGAGGTTGTGGGTTTTTGGGTAAGCCCCACTGGACATCTCTGTCCACCTGGAAATCAAAAATGTGAGTATCATGTGTATACTAAAATAGTCTTTGCCAAGGCTATTAGCCTTTCGCATTCAAATGTATTGGCAGAAAAGAAAATGTGAGAAATAATAGCGAATATTAATTGAAGCAAAACACTTAGCAACCATGTATTGTTTTTTTAATTCTGTGCAAATGTTGCAGGCATATGTAAAATGAATCTCTGTAATGATTTCCGTACAAAAAATACTTATTTAAATTATTGCTTATCATCATTGCTTTCTCGCAACATTCTCCATGTGTCATGTTATGTTGCATATTAAATACTCTTGCATACTTTTTGTTGCATATTAAATATCTCAATGGTTTCAAAATCTGTATTAGTGAACATGAAAGTCTCATGCTTAGAGCTGGTTTATCTAAAAGACAAATATGTCCTGCAAATCTGATTGTGTTCAATTTTATAAATTTTCTATAACATCTATGTCCACAAATTTTATTAGATCTATGTTTTTCTTTCTCCGTATTTTTTCTTAAGTAGAAATTACCCTCTTTAATACTGACAAAAATTATCAATTTAACCATTTCACTTAATCATTTTAAAATTCTTCACTAAGCCAATATTGCTGAATGCTCTGTCGTTTTATTGACAAGCTTTTTTTTTAAAGGGAAAAAAACTACTTATTTTATAAAATGCTCTTTTACATTCATTATAATAAACCCTTGTTATTATTATACTGCAATCGCACTGCTGAAGACTGTTTGTTACTATACTATCGCTTCTTATTATGAAAAGCTTCTTATGATTACCAAAACTAATGTCTGATTTTTTACCTTTTCTAGATCCTCAATTAGCTGCACCCCCTTGGAGAAAGTTAGATATATTTTTAAATATGCTTCATATTGATGTAAAATGTAAATAAACGTTTTATTTTCTAGTTTCTAGTCTGAATTGAATTCCATTCATCGATTTTTTTAATATTTTTATTATGTATTTTTGTTTATTTATTTCATTTTATTTCTGTCTTTACCTCCATATCAAGAAATTCTTCGTACATAAAATTATTTTTTTTATTTAACCTTCGTACATGTACGCTGGTTCAAAACACCTTAAGCAAATTATAGCCTTTTAATTCCCTAATTGCTATTTTTTAAATGTTAATAATTAATGTCTTGGTTTCATCAGAAATTTTTGTTAACATTTAGGTATAACTTGAGTTTTTATTTCTACCAATTATTGTAAAAATGATACAGCAGATATCTTTGTTCAGATTTTTCTAAAGATGAAGAAAACTAACAAAAAACAAATTATGATATTTATTTTTATAAAATGAAACTTTTTTAAAGTTAGATATTTCATCTTTTTAATTATATTAAAGTTAGTACAAAAATGTGTCAGAAATTCCATAAAGTGGTTAAAATATTCCAAGTATTGATTTTAATATCCTTTTGTTTTTCTTTGATTAATCGAATTAGTGATCATTTTAGGATAAATGGTATATATTGTTAAGAAAATTGTGTTTTCAATTAAGCAGTATTTTTTTGCATTGAAATCTCTTTGCGCAAAATGTCAATTAATGTTAATTTTACTAGGAAAACTAAAGAATTCGTATACTTAAAAATTAGATTTTTCAAGAACTATTCAACTGATATTTACTCAAATTTTGTATTTTGCCATGTGACGTACTCAGGGTATCTGCGCACCTGGAAAGTCATGAAAAATCAGGGAAAGTCATGAATTTCAGTATTGAATGAAATTTGTCATGAAATTTCATGATTTTAGCTATTTTTTAAGAAAAGTCATGGATTTAGGTCACCAAAGAATTTTATTTTTAAAATGGAATCCCTCCCCCCCCCCCCCTCCCAATTTCATGGTGCTCCGAATATCTGAATTTGTAACAAAATCCCCACTCACAGTCATATTTATTGAAATATAAAATGTTTTTATCATGTTCTTTAAAAACTATGGTGTTCTTTCAAAAAATGAAAGAAAAAACATCATTTCTATAGTGAAGTATCTTTTAAACTTCTGTGATTTCAGAATTTATATTATTATTTTTTTTAATTTTTTTTATCAATTCTCGCTGAAGCAAGCAGAAAAATCAGGAGTATTTATTTTCTTTCTGATAAACAAGAAAAGTATCTTTAGAATATAATTCTGCAGGAAAAAAAAGGGGGGAATTAGTTGCTCAGCTATTTTATTGCTTCAACTCTTTCTTTACTCTGTTTTTTAAATTTAAAATCAATAAATATGAAGATGCTGAGTATAATAGTTTTGGTTATACCTATTATTTCAATTAATGTTATTATAATGCTTTTTAAATTTATTATTCTGTTTTTATTGGAGAAAAGTGTAACTTCGTTAAGTCATGAAAAGTTCTTGGAATTAGTCATGGAAAGTCATGAAAAATCATGAATTTGAAAATCTAAAATGCAGCAGATACCCTGCGACTTTAAAAAATTTTGTACCTTACAATTCAAAATTTTTCGACTTATTAAATAAGAGAATAATATGTACTAAAATTTATTTTTTGCATGGAATTATCTTAAGATAAACAAATTTTATAATTGTGTGCTAAATATAAGTCCGTTTAAAAATTTCTCAAGATAGGGCAAACTGCGCAAAAAGTAAAATTAACATTAAGGGGTCCAAACTATAGGGACCATTTTTTCCAGATTACTGCTTTCCCCTGTGTTTTGGGGATCAAAAATCCAAATCCGTTGGAAAAAAGTATGTTTTTATTCAGAAAAAGTATGTTATTGTATCTGATTACATAATTTAAAATATCATCTACGCTAATTAATTAGCATAACTGAGGTCCTAAAACGTGCATACCCGATCATTAGATCAAAAGTTATTTTAGGTGGTTCTTTTTTTTGGTGCACTGTACATACATTCAAAAACGCTGTTGATCTAACTGTCTACTTTAAAACTCTTTTCAACCACCGCTTCACACATTACATGTAAAAGAAAGTGTTTTCGATAGAATTTAATAAATATTTTATGTGAATAATTTGCTAGTTTGCGGCTCTAATCAATTAAAATTTAGAATTATCGCACTTTTTTTATGTATTATTTATCTTTGGTTTTCTATGTTAGGTTTTCGCAAGTAAAATTTACTCGCTGACGTCCCCGAATTCGTATTTTAAAAGCCGTATGAAACCAGGTGTTTCTCATGTAGTTATTTACCATTTCGAGGAGTGTTTCTATAAACTTACATAAAGGTAGAACGAACGAAAAAGATTTGAAGTTATTTATTAACCCATGAGAAAATTGCTGTAAGTTCTGAATATCACATTTCAAATTATACTATTTGTATAGTTAATCTTTATTTTGGTGAATTGAACTTCTAATTCATCTTATGGTAAATCTAATAGTTGCAGTTTGAAAATAAAGGTTGCGTATTGGATGCTTTGAATGTGTAGTATGGTCATATTAGAGTACTTATACGTTTTGGAGGGTGGTAAAAAACCTAAGTTATTATAGGTACTGTGGAAATCCGTTTTTACGGCCCACGGAAAGGTTCCACAGAAAATTGTTGATTGTGGTGATTTTTGACTATCAGTGACTGACCTCATGCATTAGCATTATGCCAAATGATTCTTAATATAATTTATCTTTTTTCATGGGATGAACTTCTAAAAACATGTTCTGCTTAACCTAATGACATAAAGCCATTGCATAGGGCAAAAAAATAATAAATTTAAAAAAATTGAAATTATTTTAGCTTAATTAATTGTTTTGGTGTTCGTCTTTCAATTTTGTGCTTGATTTCGTAGTGTTGATTCACATCGATTTATTGATTATTTACTTTTTCTTACTTTACGAAGAATGGGTATTCGACTAGTTAGTAATAACGAAGAGACGAATAAAGCAAACAAAACAGAAGCTTTCAGATATCTTTTTCAAAACCAACGCAACAAATTTCTCCATCTAACAAAGTTTTTTTTTACCCACGAATTATCAATTCGATGTAATCATTCATGAAATACAGAGAGTTTTTTTTTTTTAGTTAGAAGGCTTCATGTTATGAAATTTAGAAAAGAAGGGGAGAGGGACTAAGTGTGTAAAAAAAAAAATTAAGAAAAAGCTTGAGACTTGATTTTCCTTAACAAAAGTAACCGGTTGAAAGAGGTCCTACTTTCTTGCCTTTTTTAAAAGAAAATTCAATTGAAAATGTTTGTTCCTAAAATAAAAAAATATTTGTTATCACCATCTAACTGCCTTATGATAATATGACTCTGTATATTGTCCTTTTTAGCATCTAGCTTTACTGAGTTATTTTCAGTGCCCATTGACGGATATATAATTTACTGAAAGAAATAAAGTTTTAAGATAAATGATTTGTAAAAATGAATTGATTTTAATCGTATGATTAACTAGAACTTACTAAAATTCCGAACGATAATGCTTAAGGACAATCAAACCACTCCGACGTCATCCATGAAGTTTACCCATGTTATATGGGGACCCAGTGCCTTTTACCAAAACTTGAAGAGAATGGTTAGTTTGATATATATTAAATTTGAACACCATCCTTATTATGTAATGTTGATGTCTTATTTTAGTTTACCCATATACGATTATATTGAATGAATAACAGTTCTGTGTTATTATTTGTTTCTAAGTTGATTTTATATGCTTCATTTCAATGAAAACAATTAAATTAAGATAGGATAACGTGAATTTAGGTTAGTGTGTGTTTTCAAATTTTTTGCGTTGTGTATTTTCGTAAATTAAAATTTTCTAATCAATTCCAAATCTTTTATTTTAGATTTTAGCTCTGTTATACAAAAAAAAAACTGTTTCTTCTATTTTTTATTTACTCCAGTTTATTTCTATCCTATCATATAATAAATACTTCTACTATAAACAGAGAAAAGAAAACTGCATAATATTTTCCTTATTTTATCTTCCATTAGTTTAAGAAGATTAATGATGCATGTCATCCATTTTAATAAGCATTATATTAAAGATTGAAATAAGTATAAGAGCAATAAAAATGGTGAAAATTAACTTATTTAAAATAAATTGTAATTTGCTTCACAAAATTTACTTTTGTCTTCATTTTAACTGAACAAATTAACATCCTGACATAACATAAACATCCTGAACAAATTAACATCTAAACGGGTCATAGAAATAAAATGAAATAAATGCTCAAAGGATTACAAAAAACTTCATAAATTCAATTAAAAAATAATACAAGAAAACGATAAACTCATCTTTCTAATTAGTAGTTAAGCTTTTTGCTGTTGTGTCTGCCATTTGCTCTAATTCTCTCTGACTAAAATGATTTAACATACATTAAAAGCAGACGATTAAAATTTTAATTATAGGGGACATATGACTCAAAATTCTCTTTGTTTTTTTCCTTTTTAAAATTGAATTCGAAGCTTTTTTTTTTGCTAGAAAAAAATCCATTTGCATAAGAAATGCTTTGGATTTCTGAAAAGAGAAACTTATTTGTAAAACTTTTTAAACATAAATTTAATTTTCAGACGATTTATAAACATGTTAAAATCGTTCCCAAAGATTTGATTTGAAAGGAAGAAAATATTAGAATTCAATAATATCTTTTTCCTGCAATTTTAAATCGTTTTAATTTCAATGTGGATTAAGTATTCAATTAGAATGGACTTTTATTCAACAAAATAATACTTTCCTTTGATTTTGAAACTTTTCCATGTTATATTTTGAAGGTAAGAAAACTTTTATTTTGAAACCATAACTAAAATACTACTATATATTGGAAAAATGCAGTTTCATATATTATTCTCAACAGCTTATTGTAACATACACCTATTACTTGCGTTTAATTTATAAAGTGATTTTATATTAAATAGCGAATATTTTATTTTAAATAATCACATACATAAAATTATATAAATACATATACTTTAATACAAGTTTTTGGAATCGAAAATGCTAAAATAATTTAAGTACTCCTATGTATGTAAGTACATATCCTTATGTAGTCAAATATTAAAGCATTAAATCGTGAACATTCTATTCGAAAAAACTACATTTATTAAGAATACCTAAATACATAAATTATAGCATATGAATTTAGAACTGAAAATGTCATGTAGAAATATAAATAGTTTAAACAATTTTGTGTAATAGTCTTGTGCATTGAACTGTAAAAGCTTATTCTAAGCAGTTACATCTGTTAAGAATAATTAAATGCATATGTTTCAATGCGTAATTTTGGAATTGAAAATTTTATGTAAAGCTGTAAATAGTTTAAGTAATCTTTACTTTTGTTTCGTTTCACGTGCATTACTTCAGTAAGTAACGTACTAATAACGTAGAGTAACTAACGTATAAAAAAAGTACACGTTTTATATTTTCATATTAACGTGATCTTAACAAACTGCTACTAATGAAAAGGCATGCCATTAATAGTCATGCCTTGTTGGTTGTATTTTTCTTCAAACACTTACTAAAATATTTAAATTAAGTATTGTTTTGTGAATGTTGATAAAAAATACTTTATGTTGATGAAAAAGCTTTTCAGTTAGGAAAAGATTTTTAAAAAAATGCGAGCAGCATTGCGGGGATCATCCCCTATAAGAGTATGTTTTCTATCACATGAGTTCTTTCCTTATACCATCACATTTTGGTTTCCGGACGATTATTGTCAGGTATTGTTATTTGTTATTAAATTTTGTTTTATGAAACAAAATAAGATTTACGGAAAACACATGATTGTTTTGAGCTTTTTTTTTATAAAAAAAAAATTTGAAAATTATTTAGAAAATTGCGTGAAACTTTTTAAATTTATCGAATATTTAAATCAAACTTTCTTTTATTAATTGCCGAATACGATTCTCAACAAAATTAAGACAGATTATTTTCTAGTTTTTTTATGCGCTGCGCAGTATTAAAGAAACTACCTTAAATACTTATATACTTGAATTATTTTTAATTATTTTTTTTAAATTGGAAATAAATAATTTTGTAGATAATTTTAATTTACTCCAAAAATAATGTTTAATTATATTGTATATCTATAAAGTTATAAGAAAAATCGTAATAATAATAATTTTTTTTTAAATGTCCATATCTTCATAAATATTTACTCTATGTTTACGAAATTTTGTGCTGTTATTTTAATTAACAACTAAAGTAATCGATACAAGTTTATTGCATTACTTTCTGGCACAGGGTGTTAAAAAATACTTGTTTTCTTTGTAATTTATTGTCGGTTTCCTAAACCTCTGAAAGCTTTAAATGTTATTGCTCAGTATGAAAAATTTAATCACGAACTAAGCATCTCTAAAACAGGGTGTTCAAAAATACTTGTTTTCTTTTGTAATATGTTGTCGGTCTCCTAAATCTCTGAAAGCTTTAAATGTTACTGCTCAGTATGAAAAATTGAATCACGAACTAAGCATCTCTAAAACAGGGTGTTCAAAAATACTTGTTCTCTTTCGCAATTTGTTGTCGGTCTCCTAAATCTCTGAAAACTTTAAATGTTATTGCTCAGTATGAAAAATTGCATCATGCATTAAGCATCTTTAAAACAGGATGTTCAAAAATACTTGTTTTCTTTTGTAATATGTTGTCAGTCTCCTAAACCTCTGAAAGCTTTAAATCTTACTGCTAAGTATGAAAAATTGCATCATGCACTAAGCATCTCTAAAACAGGGTGTTCAAAAATACTTTTCTTTCGTAATTTGTTGTCGGTCTCCTAAATCTCTGAAAGCTTTAAATGTTATTGCTCAGTATGAAAGATTGAATCACGAACTAAGCATCTCTAAAACAGGGTGTCCAAAAATACTTGTTTTCTTTCGCAATTTGTTGTCGGTCTCCTAAACCTCTGAAAGCTTTAAATCTTACTGCTAAGTATGAAAAATTGCATCATGCACTAAGCATCTCTAAAACAGGGTGTTCAAAAATACTTGTTTTCTTTTGTAATTTGTTGTCGGTCTCCTAAACCTCTGAAAGCTTTAAATCTTATTGCTCTAAGTATGAAAAATTGAATCATGGACTAAGCATCTCTAAAGTTATAGAATAATCCTTTGAGTATTTCTTGAGAAATTTTTAAAAAAATTTCAAAAACTCAAAGTGACTCTTACATTATTGTATGGTAGTCTATATATATATATATGAAGAATATTACATTTAAATCTGATTTTCCTTTTAATATTTTTGAATGGAATTATGTTGTTCTTGGTTCAATTTCTTGAAGTGCGACTTGACGATTTTAAAAAGAAGAAAACAACACCACATTTTATGTATAAATAAGCAAATGACTTTAATAAAAAACATTAAAAACTGTACAGCTATTGTACAAGTAACACAAACTTACAGAACAAAACTTTTCAGTCAATTCTGCCAGCCGTGTTACAGACTAACAATCAAGTATCAGGCATTCACAATTAAAAACATTGTCCGATAATCGTTGTTGAGTAATAGAAATAATAACAACTATGAAATTATCTACACAGGTTCTTGCATTCAAAGAGGAAAACCGTAACCCAGGATGTTCAATGATTACCCATATGATTTACCCTAATTTGTCCAGTTCTCGGCTCGGTTTAAAGATCTTTACATGGTTATTCCTCTTTCCTTGCAGGTCATAAGGCACATATTCTGTTTCCGTCAGACTTGTAACCAGCTTATTTCTTGTCCCAACCACCGTGTCCTTTTTCTTCCCATCCTCCGTGTCCTTTTTCTTCCCATCCTCCGTGTCCGTATCCGTGTCCTTTATCTTCAATGCTGTTAGGAAAAGAAACAACAATGATTATTACAACGAAAAATGATTACAAGCCATTTGTCAACATATTCAAGGATAATAACATGAAATAATTAAAATTAGTTTATGACAGAACACCCGTAAAAATAAATTGCTTTAAAAAGAATTAACTCACATGAATCTGACTTACTCAAATCAATATTTAAATTAATTGAAAACCTGGCTAGAAAATGAGCTTATGTTTTCAAAGCTTTAACACGTTCACTGTGATATTTCCGTAGATTTAACTAAACATTTCTATGGTACTCATATTGTAGTCCATTTTACTGAACTACGAACAGCACAGTGGTTGTGTCAATGAGCTATCATTGAGCTGGATCGAGGTCCTATCTCAGATAGTGGCTTAGAGCTTGCCCTACTTCTGATGGATGTATTCAAGTTACTCTGTAAAGTATAGGCGTGCCCACATCATTATCATCGTGTGGTTGGTCTTAAAATTGTGAATCTCAAAATCTCCAATGGCCAACAAGTGGCTATTGAGGGACTTCTCTACTCTTTCAGTGAAGAAAAGTGTTTCATCTTTAGAAGTTAAGTAGATTATTTTACAATTTTGTGATCTATGAACATTAGTCTTTTATTATATCTAATTTTTAATAATATGATATAATGTTATGAAAAATGAATAATATTATAAATTGACAAATTGGAAATCTAAACCTGCTCCGTGTTTAATATTGAAATGTTAGCGACATGAAGATACTCAGCCTTTCTGTCCTTCTCTCAATATATAAATGCGCAGCTTTTATGCATTAAAACTAACAATAACCCTTAATTGAAATTTATAAAAACTTCATAGGTAACTCAATCTAATCATTATCTCTGAAATTTAATAGTATATTGTTTATTGTTATCAGTGGCCATTGTTATTCACATATATTTCCACATTTCTACTTAATTTAATTGCGCTATGAGTAATTGTTTCCATGATTCTGTTTGCGAGAAAAATTTAGTCATTAATATTGCGGGGATAGTTTTTGCTAAATAAACGAATTTCACGTTTGAAAACAGGAAATAACGAATTTAGATGTCTCTTATGCTGAATATAAACGACATCAGCGGAATGAACTTATTTCCTAGTTTATGGATCATCCATAATTGTTCCGTGGTTGTTCACATAGTTAATATTCTCATTCTTCGCTTAGGAAGAACAGTTACGACTCTGTTGTCAATGCATAAAGATGCGTGCATTAAAGCATCTTTTTCCTAATCACGTGGCTTTGTTATTATATGACAAACAAGCTCTCAAGCGTGTTTTTTTATAGTTGAGTTGTTTTGCTTTCTCTAACGATTTCGGAACCGATATGGCAGAGGAAAAGTGAAAGGTGTATTTTGCAGAACTTTTTGAAGCAGAAAAAAATATATTTATTTATAAACCGTGATATTGATACAGGATATTTAAGGATATTTCTATTTTTAATTTTTTTTAAAAAAAGCAAAAAAACTATTCGTCTGAGGATATTTTGAAAAAATTCTATTCCACTTATTTCACTTCAGTTATGTTGCCACTTTTCTAACTATTCACTATAGTTCCACGATGTATCGTGTAATATAGTTTTCTTTTGCACATTGCGATAACAAACGATACAATAAAAACATACAATTTTACAATCAACAACGATAATGCCACCAGTATTATCTATAACGATGATTATAGAATTGTATTGTGATCATTATAACAATAAATTTCGAATACAATAATATTATTAATAACTATAACTATCGAAAACGATATTAATATGAGTGTTATTAAGTCTCATTTGGGTAATGACAATATTGATCATTACAGAAACAATGTAAATTGGGAAAATATTACAAAGTGTGGGGAAATTTCGATATTTTAACTTGATATAAAAATTGCGATTTTAAAATTGTTAATAACGAGATTATAATTCCTTATATTAAACATCACTACTTGATTTTTTTAAAAATTATAAAATTAAAAATTTAAATTGTATTTGAAAGCTAGATATTCTTTAAAATAGTATTTTTATATAAAATATTTTTAATTAGAAAAGTACACAAACAATATTAGTTTCTTTTATGTGTTTCTTTCATCATTTCAAACATATATTAAGCAAATTAGAGGTTATTAATTTCATCATGTTAATGTGTAATTATAACAAGTGTGATTTTGATATATTTTCTATGATATACATAGATGAATTTTTTAAAAATATTAGTTAAACTGAATGATATCTCAATATATTTTAAAATAAATTTCCTTACTAACATAAGTTGATTAAATTGTATTTTAAACTATCTGTAAAATGTCAAATAAATTTAGTCAAACGTTTGGCTTTTAGTTTTAAACCCAATTTTCCCCTTATTACATTTTTCACAGTTTCATGAAAGCAAGATTTAAGCTAATGAAATATCCAATTAACTTCCATAATAATAAACGCAATTTTTCTCGTTCACAAATTCTTCCAGTACTATGCACCATGAAAGTTAATTGGTTTTGAAATGTAACTTAGAAAAATCAATTCAATTTCCCTAATTTAAATCATAATTAATAGATTTATCAGTAAGTTACTTACATAACGGGTACTGGTTTCTTAATCACTACAGACTTCTCTTTGATTACTTCAATGGGTACATGGACGGGCTTTGGAACTGGGATGGGAACGTTCTTGTGAATTGGGACAATGTATGGTTTTGGAATGTGAACTGGAACGTGGACTGGGTATGGTTTGGGAACTGGAATTTCCTTGTGGACTGGGACAACGTATGGTTTTGGAACTCGGATCACCTTTGGTACTGGGTATGGCTTGGGAACAGGTACTTCCTTGTGAACTGGAATAATCTTGGGAACTGGTACTTCCTTGTGAATGTGTTTGATAACTGTTACTATGTGTGGAACTGGGTAAGGCTTGGGTACAGGGATGTGTTTGTAGACGGGAACTTCTCTTGGGATGTGAACAGGCTTGGGAACTGGTACATGATGAGGAATTGTGATCAATTTAGGATTTTCTTTGATGATGTACTTGATGGGTTGTGCTTTCCACTCATCATGATGATCATGTGATTCCCCCCAGCCGCCTGCATGTACTAGTGCTATACAGGATACTAGCAACGCTGCAAGTGTTAGCCTCAGCATTTTGTAAACTGAAAGAAAAAACAAACATTAAAGCACTTAAGGTTCTAAATGGACATCACAATTAATAAAATTATGAACTAATGCAAAATTAAAATCTTTTTAATTTTAAATAAAATTTTAAATTAAAATTTTTTTTGTCTATGGAGAGCAATTTAGAAATGTAAAGTTGAAAATTGAAATGACATAATCAAAATAGTAATAATTTAAATGCGTCTTTTTGGTCCTGTATAATCAAATTTCTTGATAGATTTTATTTTCGCAAAAATTTATCATAATTCTCCAATGGAAGGAGAAAGCACACTTATTCCCGTTGCTTCTTCGTTTAAATTTACTCACTTAAGAATTGTTTAACTTAATAAAGCTTACACAGAAATAACTCTTTCAGTTTATTTTGATGCAATTAGTATAGTCTGTATTTGAACTTAATTTGGTATATTTTTTTAACTTTATTTATTTTAAAGCCCTTTGCTGCAAAATAATATTTTAAAATGCAATTAAACAGTTAATTTTGAAAGAACTTTCTAAATTATAATAAATATTTTTAGCTATTTTTTGTTAGCTTTAGAACGCGAAAATCATATTTTTAGTAATTATACATAAGTGGTCAAAAAATAAATGTTATAAAACTATTTATAACATTTTTATAACGCTTACGATTATTATAATTTTAATTTAAAAAAAATTTCATCTTTTATGTGTTATAGGGGAATTTTATTCAAATAGTTTATTTCTTACTTTATTTGTCTTTAAAATCCTTGACGTGTAAAAGTTAGTGTGCAGCAGTGATAAATGAAAAGTGACGCAGTTTTATTGTTGCACACGTATTTAAATTACTCACCTTTCATTTTTATGAATTTCATAACTTATTATTAATTTAATTGAAGTAATTATCTATCTAATATTTTAAAATACTAATTTTTAATCTAAAGTAATATAACATTTCACAGATATTTCATCAAAACTATTTATTTTTCAACGAAATTCTTGACACGTTAAAATTAACCTGTCAAGGGTAATGGAAAGTGGTGCAATTTTATTTTTGCACATACATCCAATCTGTTTATACTCTATTTTTATAACTCATTATTAATTGAAACTCTAACGTTTTGCATATCTCATTAAAATTGTTTATTCTCCAAGCATTTTTCTCACGGAATCTTTGCTGCGTAAAAAAATAACAGAAGAAATAGCATGTGGTGCAATTTTATTATTGCGCATATATTTAATTAGGTTCCCTATTTTTGTGCAATAAACAAAAAAATATTTTTTTAGAACCTTTTGAATCGAAACTTTCCCAAGCATTGCAAATAAAGTGATAAAAGTTCACGTGCGAATTTTCTCATCATAAAAAATATACACAGAAAAATGACCCGAATAATTCCAGAACGGTGAAAGTAAAAGTAACATATAAATCACTTCCCAGTCTTTCAGGCGAAAACAAAAGCTTCCACTTTTCGTGACTCCTCAAGTGATGTAACACTTCTTTTGGAGATTTCTTTCTCTTCCGCGTAGACATAGTCCAATTTAATATCTTCTTTTTCAAAAACCACTTAATTGTTCTCGTGCTGTGCTGAAATAATTTCAATTTTGATTGATTGCATAAGTGACGTTCAGCTGGGATGATTTTAAAATTGCGAAGCAGCGTTTTAAGCCTAATAATAGAAAATCGTTTGAAAGAAGCTTTCTACTGAAAATTATTTTTTTGACCATTGTACCGTAATCTTTTGCTAGATTTATTTTTGATTTTTTTTTCTTAAAATATCGGAATGGAAATTATAATGTTATAAATAACTTTAAACAGGGCAGTAGTCAAAATATTTTTAGCTCTATTGAAGGTGTTTTTCAGTTTTTTTTTCTCTAGTTCGATGTCTGTTAAAACTTCTTTTGTTAATTTCAATTAAAAACATCTTTTTTTCTAAAAATATGAAACAATTCTCTCTTTTTATTTAATATTTTCATAAAAAATCAAACAATATCTGATTGAATTAAAATTGAAGTTTAATGGCGTAACAACTAAGTGGTGTTTAGCCTAATTTTATTAAACACCCTCAAAGCAACGAAATGAAACGATAATACAAATTATGTCAGTTCCAAAAACAAAAAAAAGGCATAAAAGAGAGATAAATAACTAGATAACTTCCTTTTTTTAAAACTTTAACAGCAACTTTATTATATAGCGCATGAGAAATATCGTAGCCAATTTTCTATTGCATATTTCTATTTTTTCCCTTGCATTTTTACTCTATTTTATCATATCACTATTTTCTTATACACATAAAATATAAAAAAAATTTTATATCATATGAAGTCGTCATAGTATTACATGGCTGTATTTTATATAAATTTTGAACGTATTCAACATTAGAATTTTTGGCACGTGTTTAACCATAACATCTTTCAAATTTGTGGCAATCTCTGTATGGTGCTAAGTTTAACCACATTATCGTATTTCTTACACTTGTAACTTGATTATGGTTCAATTTAGGAGGAAACATGGTTCAATATAACACTTTATTAAGGTTGTAGAAAACATACTCAGCAATAACTGTTCAAGGTACCAATATTATTTTCAACTTTGAGTTTTTAAAAGTATATAAGTTTTTATAAAAACACTTAAATTATTCTAACATATTCTTTTCCAACCGATAAAAAAAAACTGTCAAGTTATTTCTCAAACTTACCATTTGGGAATATTTTTTGAAATCCATACAACAAAAGATCATTGCTCTGCTTTTAAAAGTGCAAAATAACAATTTAATTTAACTTCCCCCTGAGAGGGATTTGCATCTTTTTTGATGCCTTTTCGCCTGTTAACATGTCATTCCTCTGATCCAAGAAGGCACGCGATCTTGTAAGAGGAAAAGATTCCAATTAATATTCCCCCAGGAAACGGAGTTATAGTAATAAAGATAGTTGTATAAATAAATGAGGAACATTATTTATTTGATCGATGCTCTAAAAAAGCTTAATGTCTTCCTTACAAAGCATTCTGATATTAGATCTTCATAAGATCTACTTTCTATGTTCTCGCTTTAGGAACATGATACCCATATCGCATTGCAATAAAATCATTTTTTCTTTTTGTTCTTTAACAAGGAAAATTATAGTCTTACATCTTGAATGCTTTTTATAATAGTTATTCAAATCTAAGATAATGGGAATTTTATGTTAACAAGTCCATTACTACTAGTTTAATCTCCTCGTTTATTTTTTCTGAATTCTAAACTGAAACAATTTATTATCGTTAAATGATACTGAATTTTTATTATTAGTGAAAATTTCTCTTTCAAACGGATAATAGTTGTTGTTTATTTCAGTTAAACCTTCATTTAATATTTTTAGTTAAATTTTTTAATACATGATTAAAAAGTTAAATGGAATTTAACATTTTAATAAATTTATTTTAAATTTCATTACCTCTATTTTTTTTTATTTGAAAATTGCATTTGAATACTTATTTTCTCTAATATAAAAAATAAAGAAATTTTGAATTCACTGTGCAAAATTTGTTTAAGGTACATATTTAAAAGGTTTTAGTTATGTTTATTATAATATTAATCAGTTAGATTAATTTTCAAAATTGCAGATTTGTTATTGATTTTATACTCGATAGTTTTGCATTTTAGAAGTAAAGGAAGCATATATTAAGGAAAAAAAATTTATATAATTACAGTATCGTGAATTATAATTAATTAAACTTTCTTAATTTTTCATCTTTCTTAATTTTTATTAAATAAGGCATTTGAATATCACCTTCAAGAATTTTTTTTTTAAATTAAATAATATTAAATATTTAAAAAGTGATATTTTGGAGTCTACATGTATTCAATTATTCTTCGTATTATTCTCTAAATAATATGCCTGTAATTAAAACACTATCAGTTTGAACAATTCAATGTTACCATGGTTTCAGGATCTATGAGATCACCAAAAAACTCGGTAATATTTACTGAAGCGCTTTGGTAATAATTTTGATAAAATATTCAATAAAATATGGTTTCATAGATAGTATATGATGAGATTTGGTAAATATGATAAAATTTTGAAATCTTTCGTTTTCTTTAAAAAAAACAAAGCCTAAGAATAAAAAAACAATTTATTTTCACTTTAAACTTTTTTTGCAAGACTTTTTTCTTTGGGAGTAGGAATCTTAATAAAGTCAATCGAATCAAATATTAAAATGAAATATAAGTTTCAATTAAAAAGCTGCTGTAAAAATACATAAAAATTCTACATTTATATTTATAATGAGAATATTTTAAACGAATTTTTAAATTTTGCACAACCAACAATTCTTAGACGTTGAATACTTTGACATCTAAAACATGCCCCTACTTCCATTATTTTATAAAACAATTATCTTAAAAGGATGTAAGGAACACATTTTTTGAGAAAATAATTTCCTAACAGGCAATTAAATTTTAGCATTTTTTTTTCAATTGAAAGAAGACATGTTACGAAATATTTGTGCTTCAAATTATTTAAGAAAAATACACTTAAGGGTCTTTAAAATTTGAAAACTCANTGAATATCACCTTCAAGAATTTTTTTCAAATCAAATAATATGAAATGTTAAAAAAGTGATATTTCGGAGTTCACATGTATTCAATTATTCTTCGCATTATTCTCTAAATAATATGCCTGTAATTAAAACACTATCAGTTTGAACAATTCAATGTTACCATGGTTTCAGGATCTATGAGATCACAAAAAATCTCGGGAATTTTTACCGAAACGCTTTGGTAATAATTTTGATAAAATATTCAATAAAATATGGTCTCATAGATAGTATATGATGAGATTTGATAAATATGATAAAATTTTGAAATCTTTCGTTTTCTTTAAAAAAAACAAAGCCTAAGAATAAAAAAACAATTTATTTTCACTTTAAACTTTTTTTGCAAGACTTTTTTCTTTGGGAGTAGGAATCTTAATAAAGTCAATCGAATCAAATATTAAAATGAAATATAAGTTTCAATTAAAAAGCTGCTGTAAAAATACATAAAAATTCTACATTTATATTTATAATGAGAATATTTTAAACGAATTTTTAAATTTTGCACAACCAACAATTCTTAGACGTTGAATACTTTGACATCTAAAACATGCCCCTACTTCCATTATTTTATAAAACAATTATCTTAAAAGGATGTAAGGAACACATTTTTTGAGAAAATAATTTCCTAACAGGCAATTAAATTTTAGCATTTTTTTTTCAATTGAAAGAAGACATGTTACGAAATATTTGTGCTTCAAATTATTTAAGAAAAATACACTTAAGGGTCTTTAAAATTTGAAAACTCATGCTAAGCATATTTCTTCAGAGTTACAGTTAATATTAAAAGAAACTTAAGTTTAATTTTAAATATTAATTCAAAGAAATCAAGCAAATAAATTATAAGACAACATACAAATTGTAATTTATCATAGAGATTCATATGTTTAACACATTCTTTACACTATCTTCAGGGTTACTTATTTTACAATATTCGCGGGCTTGCAAATATTTTTTTGACGTAGGAATTACATTATATGTTATTTATATAACAAATTATTTAGCTAGGAGATGATCCAGAGTTTAAGATGCATTATACAAATAAGGAAGGAAAAAAAAATTTAACGTCACATTCTATGGCAAGTTGCAATTTTTGTGGTAGAATTTCTTGACTATACCAAATGATTTAATGTTGTCTTTATAACGGATTTTACATCACTTTTTGATAAGTTTTAAGTTTAGTTTTTTTTTCTTTTGTCAATTTGAAATTGATTAAAAATAATTATTATTACAAGTAATCAAAATCACGACGAAAATTCCGAATTTTTTTTTAAAAAAAAGCTTTTTTTATAATTTAAATCGACTGAAACGAATTTTTTTTTTCGTTCGCGGACGGCACCATAGAGTTGAGATAGTAGTATGCAACTGTGAAGAAAGGAGAAACTTTTTTTTTCTTCCGTAAAGATGTTTTCTCTGCAATTTCACTCATTAAGCAGTGAAAGCGGTAAGATGTATTTTGAAGGGATAAATAGTTTTTTTTTTAAAACTTGCGAATATTTTTAATAACTTCTCTTTTACATGATTTTTTATTTTTGCGAGCAATGTTTCTGCCAAACATTGAGGTTTCGACTTTTCAAATTCTTTTTTTTTTTTTAATAGATTTTTTCATAAGATAGATTAACAATTCTGTAATATTAATTCCGTCTATAATATTTAAACCATTCGAAATTTGATTTATCACAAAAATTTAGTCATGGTAATAACGTGAACGTCAATTGCTTCGTGAACATTCAAATGCGTTAAATCTTCTTGATTGTACATTTTTAGTTACATTCCAAAAATTAATTAGAATATTATCGCGAGTTCGTAATAGAAACCACAAAATATATGCAAATATTTCCATTCATAATTCGTTGGAATTTGTTGGACAAAATAAACTAGCGATTATATTATTACTGTATGAATTAACTATTTTTAATGTTAGCGTGTGAAATTTTCTATGCACTTATTCGAAAATTACGCTATTGAAAATAATTTAAAAACTTAGGAATCTACTCCAGGAATAATATAATCCAAGAATTGCTAGAAAACATTGTCAAAGTGTTCCATATTACACATTTTTTTACGAAGTGCAAACGATTTCCTGAGATTGATGTAAAAGCAGACGATATCCTGATTCGAACGTAAAAGCAGACGATATCCTAAATCACTTAATCCATGAGAATTTAATTGATATGAGAAATGAAACAGGTGATAACTTGACCTACCTGAAATCACTAGTTGCACAGATTGAAAACTTTCTCTTCGATTATTTTGGAGAAAATGTCTAAAAGGAAAAATTGGATTGAATGGTTACTCGACCGGCTTCCCTAAACTTTTATACTTCGACTGGACCAATAAGACATAGCCGACCTATTTGGGACAAGAAAAAGTGAATCGCCATTTTGCAAAATATAGGACACTGAACCTTGAAGGCATATTGCGCCCCTGGCGGGATACTCTCCCATCGAAGAATATAACAGATAGAAAATCGGAGCAAATGTTTGTTTATTGTTTTCTTCCGATTTTTTTTCTTCTTCTACTTCTTCGTAAATGTTCTTCTCCTTTCCGTTGGATCATTTCGCTTTCGTTCGACACGTTTTGATACAGTTTTGAAAAGGGAAAGAAAGACTTTCGCTGTTTGTTTTGTTTTGCTAAGTTTATTTATAGTCGTCTGCAGACGGGTATAATACGTTAAAATTCGAAAACTGATTACCGGCTTTTCGACAGATCTTAGGTGTAGTCTTGATAATTCGTCCGATAACGTTTGACTTAATTACTTGTTTATATTGAGGGATTTAAAAAATGCTACTGCCCCAATTGACTTTCTCGCTCATTGAATTAAACTCATTTCCTGGCTGAGACTTTTGTTTCTTCAGTTACATAAAGATGAGGATTTAATTAAATTTATGTTCAAATGTAAAAAAAGAAAGAGAGCGTGATCAAAAGAAAATATATATATAGAAGTTAGATTTTTTAACAATGTTTAAAACTAACAGAATTAGTTTTTGATGAAACATGTTGATTTTTTGTAACATAATGCAGAACTAAATTTTGTAATACCAGTAAAATATTCGCTTAGTTTTAAAAAAAAATTAGTTTAACTTTTCAAGTTTAAGTTTAATATGTTCTTTTCATTTAAAAAATGATGCTAAATATTTTTTATTGATTTCCTAACTCACACTGCAGTTGAAAAAATCACTTTATAAACTTTTTGAATTGTTGTTCTTTATATAAATATGTTTTGTTATTGTCAATTTAATAAATATGAAGAATATTTCTTAAACTAATTTTATCTAAGAATGAAAATAAGCATTCCATAACTTATTTTTATCATTTAATTTTTAAACTTTTGTGCTGACTTTAAAATTAATGACTGCTGGTACAAAGTTCTTAGAAATTAAATTAGAGCATAAAGCATTTAAATCACACTTGATTGACTATAATCTTTGTGTTTTAGGAGTTTAAAATATATTTTAGTTGTATTATAGGCATAGATTGCGATCTTGGATGTTACTATTAGCAATTAGCAATTATTATGCTCAGTCTTAAATCGCATGTTGTTGTTAATCCTTATCTCACTAAAAGATGCGTATTAAAAAGGTTATGAAGATGAATTGGAGATTAATTTAAAATCTTATCAACAAGACATTTAAATTGAGGTATAATTTTTGCAAAAGCAAAGTACAAGCACGTTTCATAAAATCCCAAACAGTTTTTATGTAATATGTTTTATGTTTTTATGTAAAACATAGTTTCAGTTTTAGGCACTACTGTTGAAATATTTTAAACTTCGTATGGAATGTTTTTGATGTACAGTGAGCAAAAAGTAAATGAATGACCGTGAATAATTTATTGATCTAATGATCGAATCTCCAAGTTCTAGGACTCTATCTTAATGGTTCGAGGAAGTGATTTCAAATATGCTAATTATTTAGTACAGACGATATTTGAAGTTACGAAATCAGACACAAAAACGTACCTTCTCTGAGTAAACATACCTATTTTTCACGGATTCATATTTCTAATCCTCAAAATGTAAGGGATAGCTGCAACCTGGGAAATATGGCCCCAATAGTTTGGTCTGAAGAGCGTTTCAAAGTTTGGACCCCTTAACGTTAATTTTACTTTTTGTTTATTTCGCCATATCGTGAGAACTTTTCAAGTGAATTAATAAAAATTTTGCATGCAATTATAAAATTTGTTTATCCAAAGATAATTTCATGTAAAAAAAAAAGAAACTTAGAAAATCCATATTAATTTTTGTCATTTTATTTAATAATAGTCAAAAAAATTTTGAACTGTAAGATATATAATTTTTTACATTATTTGAAAAAAATTAATTTTACAAGGCGAAAAACAAAATCTGAGCGAAATCGATTGAATAGCTCCTGAGAAATCGAATTTTAAAGTATCTGACTTTTTTAAAATTCGGTTTCTCAGGATCTATTCAACCAATTTCGATCGAATTTTGACTTTTGCCATTTAGAATTACATTCCATAAAATAATGTAAAAATTGCTTCCCTTATAATTCAAAATTATTTCAACTGTTATTAAACAAAGTAAGAAAATATATATTTATAATTGCTAAAAGTTAAATTTTGCATGAAATTATCTTTGGATAAAGGAATTTTATAATTGGGTGAAATTTTTTTTAACTCGCTTAAAAAGTTTTCGATATTGCGAAATACGCAAAAAGTAACTTTCTTAATTTGTCCAACAAATTAACTTATCCAAAACAAAACAAACAAACTTGTTCAAACTTTTGGGACCATATTTTCCTGATTGCGGCTACTCCCTATATTTCGAGGGTCAGAAATAAATCCGAATCCGACAAGAAATAGGTATGTTTATTCTAAGAAAGTATGTTTTGTGTCTGTTTTTTAAATTGAAAATATCATTTGCACAAATTAATTAGCACATTCCAAGTCACCCTTCGCAAACCATTAAGATTGAGTCCTAGAACGTGAAAATCCTCTCTTTAGATCAAAAGTTATTCAGAGGGGTCCATTTATTTTTTGTGACCGCTGTACACTAGAAATAATAAAAAATAACAAATAAGAAATACTTTGTCAACGAAAAGTAATATTATTAAAGTATTACAGTTCTGTAATTGTATAGTATTTAGCTCATACGAAATGTAACTGCTAAAAAATTCGAAATATGTTATAAAATTCACCGAAACAGCTAAATTTCAATATTTAATATTATGAAAGCAAGTTTATGAGTAATATTAATCATGCATTCGATCATATGTTACAGTAATTTTTCAACATAATACCTCATCTTCAATTATATTTAAATAACAACATTAAATTAATTAATTTTAGGCTCTTTTCTTTACTAATACTAGTTGTTGAAATTTGTCACAGAAGATCAGATATGAGTTGTAAATGTAAAACTGCATATATGATACTGTATTTTGATAATTATTCACTAACTATAATAATTTTTAAAAGTATCATCAATATTCAGTAAATTTTCACTCCTACATTCTTGGACGGTGTCATTTTGAGTACGAAAACTGCAATCTTTTGCATTTTAAAGAATAATTAAATCTCAAATTTTCCCTTATGTTTGGGTTGCCTAGGTTATGAGATTTTGAATAGAATTTTTAGGATTGTTAATGTTTCCATAAAAATGTTTCTTATAACTACTTTTTAAAAATAAAAATACAAAATTAACAAAATATATAATAAATTATTACTTTTGTTACTCGAACTTTTTCATAAGCTATCACTAAGTCCTAATCTTTCGTCCTAATTGTTGATCTTTCCTAATGCGGGCGTGGGGGTATCAAATCTGAATTTAGTTTTGCTCCTAAAGTTGCAGATTCTTTTTAAATGACTTTTTTTTTGTCGAAATGTACAAACTTAAAAACGTTATATATAACGGGGGTAGCGTAAAACTTTTAGGGGTGCTGGGGCACATCATCAAGATAAAAACTGCACAGAAACTTATGCCCAGAAATTAGTTTGCTTCTAAAACTATAGATATTGTTAAAGGACATTTTCAGTTTACTTTTTTTGTCGAAATATACAAATTTAAAAACTTTACATGTAACAGGGGGTTGCGCAAATGTTGCAATTACTTTCTAGAGTAGTTAGGACACATCTTCAGGATTAAAATTGCATAGGAAGTCAACCCGGAAATGTCCTATACAGCTAGGGGTGCTTTCCTATTATGAAATGTTCAGAAGCTCACGAAGAAACAGCTAGTAATAGAAAAGCTGTCCTAGTGGCGTGTGACGACATTTCTGGGCCTGGGATCCTATGCAGTTTTTATGCTGTTGATGTACCCTAACTCCCCTAGGAGTTTGTTGTAATATTTATGCGACCCACTGTTGTATATAACGAATTTAAAATTGCACATTTCGAAAAAATAGACTAAAAATACCATTTTAAAAAAATGCTGTAACTTAAAGAGAGAAACCGATTTCAGATTTCAATGATAAAAAAGTATCTAAGATCGATTTAAAAAATCTCAAGGAACAAAAAACAAGCAAAATAAAAACTGTTCCCTAGTGTAATTATTGTGTATTTGCATGGTTTTAGTGTTTATAGCTATGTTCCTAAGATATTAATTAAAGATACAAGTTGTATTAAAATATTTATTGATTATTAAAAAAGCAATTTTAAAAAATTATTTTTTTATATTTTTTTATTATTGCTAGCAATCAATTATAATGAGCATTGATAAGGATAAAATGATACGACTCAATTAGTAGCGAACATAATAAATGTATATTAATTATTAATAATAAATAATTAACACGTTATATGGTAATTTGATTTATTTGTCAAAAAATCACAAGACAAAGAAGTTTCACTTTTCACCCAGCCGACTAGTATGATTGAACATAAATCAAGTAAAGCGGATATACAGCAGGAACAAAACTGTTGCAAAACACTTCAATTTAATGATACAAAGGTGATTAAAATTAGAATGCNCGACATTTCTTAGCCTGGGCTCCTACGCAGTTTTAATGCTCTTGATGTGCCCTAATTCCCCTAGGAGTTTGTTGTAACATTTATGCGACCCTCTGTTGCATATAATGTATTTAAAATTGTACATTTCTGAAAAAATAGACTAAAAATGACATTAAGAAAATACTGTAACTTAGAGAGAGAAACCGATTTGAGATTTGAAATCAATGGTAAAAAAGTATCTAAGATTTGTTTAAAAAAATCTCAAGCAACAAAAATCAACAACAAAAAACTGTTCCCTAGTGTAATTATTGCGTATTTGCATGGCTTTAGTGTTTATAGCTATGTTCCTAAAATATTAATTAACGATACAAATTATATTAAAAGTATTTATTGACTACTAAAAAAGCTATTAAAAAATAATTATCTTTTTATATTTTTTTCATTATTATTAGCAATCAATAACAATGAGCATTAATAAGGATAAAATGA